AGTGGATCCACGGTCCGGAGGAACAGTCCATGGGGAGAACACAAAACAGTGGCTGGCTAGGGGATAAACACATACAAAAAAAAAGAAAAAAAAGAGACAGCATGGAGAAAAAATGGCCTAGAGACAAGAAAGAACTGGCAAGTGACTGAGGAGTGAAACCAGGTAATATAGTGAGCAACCTAATCAAGTGCAGCTGGTGATAAGGGAGTGAGGAACAGGTGAACGTGTTTAGTGTTAATGGGCAAGAGACAGTAGGAAAAGGTGAGGGAGGCCAGAGCGGCCGAGCAAACCTGACAATACTGTAATCATATAAAAATTATTACAGTGATACAAAATACAGTATAAAGTAAAAAATAAAACAAATTAACCTGCACTTTACCTTTGAAAAGAAGCAAGCTGGCATGAGGGGCCATTGTTGCAGTACACATATTGACTATATGAGTGAAGCGTGAGAACCATCGGCTCAGTTGTGACATACATCACGTGACGCTCAGCAGACAAAGCGTACTCATATTGCAAGACCTTGCTCGTATATCGAATCAAAATGTTTTGCTTATCTTGCAAAACACTAGCAAACCAGGTTACTTGCAATTCAAGGTTCCACTGTAACAGACAAATAGGCTACGCTTGGAAACTTTTGACAAATTGTCAAACATTCCTGCATGCAGGAATGTTCATTTACAGGGACTCACTGCTTTACCTGACCGGGTCTAACCTACGATCAGCTGGCCAGTGAAGCCCCCTGGGGCAATGAAAGATCAGCTCATCAACGCTGGATTCCCCCGGAGCACAGTACCCATTTGTTTTGACTGCTTGAGACCACTGTGTCTGCTGCATGTGATGTGTTGCTAGTAATTATACTACAATATTCTGATGCTTCCTTTTATTAACTACTGATCTTTACTGAATTCCTCTTACAGGGACTAAAATCAAACTTCATTATGTATAACTCTGCATGTCCTATTGTGTGCTTCAATTCGGTTACATGTTGAGTTCAATATTTCAGTACATGCCTATGAACATGATATACCTGTATAGCAATAGGTAGGAGTCCATCATCTGGGTGTTGGTACAGGAGACACAGTGGAGCAGCGATGTACTGAGGTTTACCCTTGATTGTGTTGGTGGGAACTCCGTCCATGATGGCATAGTCCAACAGGTAGATATTGCCTCTCTGGAAAAGAAAGAAGCAGAAAGACATGAGGACTTGCAGGGAGCTAAATGAACAATTACAAGCCATAACATACACAATTTTGAAATTCCTAAATTTGTGATGCCACATTAAAACATTTATTGATTGTATAGACAGATATAGTTAATTTCTCCACCTTGAGTTCTTTGTCCAGATTGGTCCCGTAAGCCATGGAGCTCTGCACCATGTCGGATGTGACAGGAAAGTTCTCTGGTAGCTTTGTACACCTCTGAATCATCCTTGGATTGCTGCCATTCAAACACTGGTAGCCAAAGAACCAGTCCTCCTTCCAGTGCTCCATACAGTACTCTGAGTCAAGTACACATAATTTGTATAAATACTGTACTTGCTAGTCAAATGCAAGTAGCCTGTTAATAAAGATAGTTTCTATTTTGTCAGCACTGAACGACTATTCCAGATCTATAGTACAACATCTATCGATAAAAGTCAAGTTTCAGCTTTAAACAGTATTGATAGAAAATGCTGCATACAACAGACTGTTGGAACAAAAGCTACACCAGTGCTTCTCCTCTCATGGCCACTTGTAATCTCCAAGCCAGTTGCTAACTCCTGCTAACAGGCTGGTCATTCATTCATCAGAGTTTTCACAAATGTACCATTTGCCTTACATCTTTCATCCCAATCATTTTCCTTGTGTACATATTGTAAATATATTTATTTAGCTTATAACTGATTTCATTATGCCATTTTTGGGTTTCTTGTTTCCAGTAAATGGGTTCCCTGAACTGGTAGTATTCACTCCTTTAAGACTTAGGCTGATTTAATTACTCTAAATAATAGTTTAATAGTTTGATGGAACTATAACCATCTGGTGCCCTAATCTAACAAGTTATTTGAATATTAATATTCCTTTTCCTAAGTGTAGTTATTTCCACTACACCTTAGTTATGCTGCCCACCAGAAGGCCGCCCTCCAAGAGCCGGGGTCTGTCAGAGGTTTCTTCATTAAAGGGGTTTTTTCTCTCCCTGCTGTCTCCAAGTGCTGTTCAAGGGGAATTTGTTGGGTTTTCCTCTATAATAATAATAATAATAACAACAGTCTAGACCTTACTTTGTAAAGTTTCCTGAGATGACTTTTGTTGTGATTTGGCGCTATACAAATAAAATTGAATTGAATATTTGTGACTGGTGAAAATTTTGTTTGCCTGCAGACATTTGAAATCAGGATTTCTAAGAAGTGTACTGATACTCCCACCTTCAGCAGAATAATGTGAAAACACCCTGTTAGTGACAAACTGTGCATATATACCAGTCAGTACAGACGTCTGACATTTTAGGGCATATAAACACAAGAAAGCATGTTTTTGAGTTTAGGTTTTTTTTATGCGTTTGGTATTTCTTGACCAATAGAAATTTGGTGGCTATCATGAAAATGCCCAACTTTTTGTCATTTTCTCCATCAAGTTCTATGACTGCATATTTACCTACCAGCTATGGGACTTCTCAGCTTCCAGAAGATCCCTTTGAAATCATCCAGGTCATTCCAGGACTTCCCAAACATAAAGGCCAGCTTCTTCAGAGACAACTCTAGCAAGCTGATGGGAAGGAATAGTGGGTATGTGTAGTTGACATTCATGTTGTTGGGGTGCAGATCTGATTGTACCGTTACCTTGCAGGGACTGAACTGTCATGTGAGGACCAAAAAGCCAGCCTCCACATGTTAAACTGGAACTAGGTATAATGAAAAATTTTTTAGGAACTGACGATATATGTGTGTTAGGGACAGTCGCTATGGGGTCAAAAAGTAAGTCCCCATCTTATTTAGAGTAATGATTTTGTTTAAGGTTAGGTGTAGGATCAGGGTTAGCATAAGTAGTGGTTGAGATGAGGTTACAAGTTCAGGAAATGAATGCAAGTTAATGTAGTGATGGAAGCAGGACTGAGAGCTTGTGTTTTTCAGTGTGTGTGTGTGCACCACTTACGCATACTGTAAGGAATATTCAAAGTCGCTTCTCTTCTCATTTTCAAAGCGGGCATCTTGGGGTAAATCTGCCTCTGTCTTAGCGTCAATACATTTGGGAATCCCTGGAGCCCATGTTACCCATCTGACACAGAGAAACAGCAGCAATATTAATATATAAAATATTTTAACACATCTGCTGTGGAATGAAGCTCTGTATTTGTGTTATTGCTAGACCTGTAGGTCTTCTGTCTCTCCTGAAGCTCTGTCTTCCTGTGTGCCAGCAGCTGAGGTAAGGAGTCGTCCCTTCGTGTCTTAGCTAGGGAGACAGGAAAGTGTACTTTTACCAACAGTTCAGACCTGAAGGGACTCATGCTCATTGCCCCAAGTGGGTTTTGGGGCCATCATAGAGAGGAAATGAAAGGCCCGTTACAGCAATGTGGGAATTTTGGGGCTGCTTATTTGGCTTTGTGGGTAAGAAGTGTCTTATGTTACAATATTGAAATCAGTCAAAAGTGTGTCTATTTGAACGTACACACATTAAGACTGTGATTTTGCTGTACAGATTACATTTACAACTGGCCCTGCCACACTAGAATTTGTATGCCACATTGTGCTAGCACAAAAATAGCATCTAATGTTTGGAACTCAAGAGATATTTAAATGGCACCCTGTATCCCATTGATGCAAAGTAAGAGTTTGTGCTGAGTAAGTTATGGGTTGGCTGCCTTGCTCAAAGGGACCTTGTTGGGTTTTGTTTTTTTTTTTTTTTTTTTTACAGCTAACCATTAAAAGCTGGTTCAGAATTAGTTGAATCCTCCTACCTGTGCCCTCTCTTATCTCCACTGTGACATCCCCTACAAGCCAGCGATAACAGGGGAAAGTCAGATCTTTGTCTCCACCTGGAGGCTCCACTGTGACGTAACTACAGAACCAGTTATCTTCCACCCAGTACCTCTGTTTCTCCAGTCTAACCAGTAGCAGGGAGCCTAAAGGAATATGACTGGTCACCTTGTACTGGTCCACCTGAAGGAGATGGATGGATACAAAAAGAGAGCAGAGAAAAAAAAAACTAAACTTTCAATCTGTGAAAGCAGTCAAATTCAAATAATACATTTACTGATTGAAACATTAAAACAATGGACAAAATGTCTTTGTCCAGTATACCTGCAATCACAACAGCATTAATAATTGCATTCAAAATGTTTTAAGTATGAATGTGAAATTAAAGATGGTAAAAACTGCATTCTCAAACCCTTATCCCTTATCCCAGTACAGACAGGATACTGTATAATGCTGCCAGTGTGTTTTGGGTCTTTCCAGGACTCTACTCACATTTGGATGAGCCAGGAAAACCTTCATTGGGAGAGACTGAGGAGACATCCTGATCATATGTAGGAACTGGCTTATTTTTGACACAAATGGGTTAGGCTCAATTGCTCAGTAAGGATCTCAAACTTACTTCTTTAGGAAAGTCAATTTGTATTCCTTAGGTCATTCTTTAGGTCATTACATAAAGCTCACCACCAAAGATGAGAGTTGGCAGATTGATTGCCTTCAGACCTTGCACCCTTTTTACAGTGGAAATCCAAAACAGTGCCTGCATTAAGTTGGTGTTTGAGCTATTTTATGATATACAGTATACTCCAGGCAATTTAGTTTAAAGATCCATTTATTAGTATGAACAATAGCAAAGACTCTGCAGTTGCAGTATGAAATAATATAAATACAAAATCATCCCTCTGTTGGCACTTGAGATGCATTATTCCAAATTTAATAAAGGAAATTCTTTAGAAATTGCACATTAAACATGAAGGAGCAAACAAAAGAGGAAGAATGAGGAAATAAAAATACTGTATATGTACTGTAGACTTGAGTCCAAGCTGATGAACTCTGAGAAATCAAATGGAGTTGAGGCAAGTCTTCCCAAATCATATACTACTCTCATATACTTACTGCTCCTCGACAGAAGTCCAGTCCAGGGTTGTCCAGCATGGTGCGCTCACTCTCCCCTTTCTCCCCCACCAGAGTCAGAAATATATAGTTGTTGGTGCCTGAATACTGTGATGTACCAGTTGCCACAGTTACATTGTAGACCTCCATCTTAGGACATGAACAGACATGCACACACACAAGCACAGTAAAGACTGCAGTATAAAGACAAATGAATCAGACTGACAAAGAACTCTGACAACATTTTCTCAAAAAAGCAAGTAAACTTTTCAAGTGAAGGTGTAGAATCCCCATCCACCTCATGTTGGAACTGTCACTCTTTAGAGACGAGCACTTAGTGTCAAAGTTTGATTTCACATGAAGGTCGATTACTAATGCATCTAAATTAAAGCTGTGTGTCAGTAATGTGGGTGGCACGTGGGCTCAATGCAAACACCAGGCAGGATACACAGGTAAGTATAAACGAAGTTCAGAGGACAACAAAACTGAGAAACACTCACTGGGAGTCTTTGAACAAACAATGAGATATAAACCAAAAATCTTAGCAGATGGTCATTGTGTGCAGTTCAGAAAGTGTTCAGACCCCTTCACTTTTTTATTTTAAACTGATAAAATTGCCTGTGTCAACATGTATAAAAACTTTTTTAAAGATGTATTAAAATAAAAAACAGAGCTCTCTCATTTAACAGCAATGACATCTTCAGTTTGGATAATTCTGTCTAAGATGATTTTGGGCAGATCCACGGTGGCAGACTCTCTCAATGTCACAGTTCTTTCATTCAGGCATTACTTTACAGCTAGTTTTTGTCCGTGTTCTATTAACATCTGAATAACAATGCCATGAGAAATGATGGACTGGACATCTCCAGTCTCGTCCACCAACCATTCTGCTCCTCAGGAGCCTGCCAACCAAACCCCATGCAACTGGGCTGAACCAGATTAACACAAAAGGAGGTGTCACATCCAAGGTAACATGTCTGTATTGCAGCCAGGGTGGCTATTACCTTATCTAAACTCTCACTCTGCAAGTGAATGGGTCTAAATACCTTTAATTCTTTTTCATTGTAGGAACCTGTTGAGCCAAAATGGAATGTATACCCTTGTCACACATTCTGCTTTTGCTTCCAACAGCTCACAATCAGCTTTGGAGTCAAGCTCCTGAAGCCAAATTTCAACACCCCTCAGGAGGAATAGCAGCAAATGTTACCCATCAGATGAGGTGCTGTAAAGAAGGTGTGTCTTGATTTGTAAAAAATCAAGAACACCATGTATCATTTTCCTTCCACTTCACAATTATGCGATACTTTGTGTTGGTCTATCACATAAAATCCCAATAAAATACATTTAAGTTTGTGGTTTTAATGTGACAAAATGTGGAAAAATTCAAGGGGCATGAATACTTTTGCATGGCACTGTATGTGGGTCACCATATTGTTTATCTGCCATCTTGATATTGTGCATCTTATTTACTTTTTTTTCTCTCTTACATACATAAACACAAACTCCAATAAAACATACGTACAGTATGTATGTGTGAAGGTATTTTGTTTCTTTACTCTGCAAACAATTAAAATACATTTTAGAGCAAAACTTATGTACTGCAATCAAAATACAGTAAATTTCTTTCCAACCAAAAAAGAGTTTGGATGTCAAATATAAACAGATTGGAATCAGACTTATTTTCATTTCAAACTAAGAAAATATCATTTAACACTTTTTTTTAGTAGCAGTGCTAAAAGCTTTGCTCTCTGTTCACAGGTCTAAGTCTGGTTGCGAATCAAAAACCTCTGCAGGTCAAAATGTTTTGGTTGCATGTCTGATTACAATACAGAGTGAGGAGTGAGGTGTAATACTGCGTCTCTGTTGGCCAGTGATGCTGGAGTGGCAGCTGTGACAAACCATTGACTTTGGCTGGAGGTCTCTGACCTTTACCTTTACTAATTCATTCAGGTAGGCTCCAGGAACTGACTTGCACTGAATATTCTGCTAGGCAGTAACATGCTGATATGAGTATATTTTCCTGGTAAAAATTTGACTATTATTTCAAGAGTAACCAAATGTGTGAGCCACACTGATGCAAATGAGCTGATGAAACAACAGATGTGACAGCCTGTGACAGAATACCAAGTCACTTAAAACCTGTTCACATTGCTTTATCACATACAGAACCTTTGGATAATATCTTACTTGTCTATTTATACCATAACTGCACAATAATAAAATAGTTTCTCACATATATAATTTATCATACATGTGAGGATAAAGTTAGCCCATGGCCAATTTATTTGAGCTATAAATTGTAACCTATTGAGATTCATATGACAATTTAGGCATGTTATGTTTTTATTTTCTATTAGTCTTTATTTAAGTGCTATGTAGCGCTGAAGAAAGGAGCTGAAGGAAGACAAAAAAAGGAGGAGGACAGAACCAGAGAAATGACTGAAGGAAAGAAAGAAGGGTGGAAGCAAGGAGGAAAGAGATAAGAAAGAAACAGTGGAGGAAGGAGGGATAGGAGGAACAAAGGAGGTTTTACTGTGTCTATGTTAATGTGTTTTTGAGCTCTTGACCATCTGACAGCTCACTCCAAATGCTTTTTCTCCCCTTTTTACAAACAGAAAACGTTGTGAGGACATTTTAGTTGAAGGAGCAGCAGCTATATATATGGTACATGGAGAAGATACAGGCAGAGAAACGTGCAGGTGCCCTGGTTAAGTTATGACAGCAAGGGATCTGGATGGGAGGATCTGGATGCCGCTCCCTTCTATCAATTTAGCGAATCTCTGCTTTCTAGCCAACAAAATACATAGTTGAACTGCTTCTCGCCAACTGGACAAACTGACTTCTCACATTCTGCTGCTCTGTGCTTCATCGAGATGTAACTCAATGAACCTGGACCCATTTGCCAGGATCCCAGTTGCACAGAGCTGACCATGTAATGGAGTTATTTGGGAAAACAAGAGGAGGTAGAATCTGTTTCTACATAAATAAGGGTTGTTGTAAAGATGTCACAGTGCTAGGAAACTTACACTTCCAACAAAGACTTAGAGGTTCATTCATTAACTGCAAATTGCTTTATTCCTTGTGGGAGTTATCCTTGTTTTTCTTGGTTGGTGTTTACATCCCTCCTCAGACCTAGGTTAGCAAAGAGCTGCAACACCTAGCCAATCAGATCATTTTGCATGGGATGGAAATATCTGGACCCCCTATTCATTGTCTTAGGTGATTTTAACAGAGCAAACTTCCTGCACAAACTATCCAAATACAGACAGGATCCTATACAGGTAGGCCAGGAATATATTGCCAAGGGAGATCAGAGTAGCAAAGAGAAGCTACTCTGAAAAGCTGAAAAACCAGTTTTCAGTCAATGACCCCTTGTCTGCATGGAGAAGCCCACTGAACCATCAACTGGATCAACCTGAATGTGCATTACTGTAGATTTGGAAACCAGAGCTCCACGCCACTCATAGCCAGCAGCTGCTCCCCCCGGTTTCACTTCCCTCCCCCCAGTCCCCACCCCCACCCCTGAAAATCAAAACAAAAAGGATGAAATGCTGATCTTGATTCTGATTTGTGTGCACGTGTGTTCTGGTATTACTGTTACTGCGAGTATATTAGTGTGTTTGTTCCAGTGTGGATATTAGGGTATGAATCCTAGGTTGTGTGTTACTGTCTCTTTTACTTTCTGTGTTAGTGTATGTGTGCTACCTTTTGTTATTTTCTTGCTTTTACTGTGTACATTAGTATCTTTGTTATTTTATGGATTTTAGTGTACTGTTACTGTGTGTGTTTTAAATCATCAGTTAAACATATGGTACCAGAGAGATCAATCTATTGTTAATGTTTTAAGTATGACTAGAAAGTAGCAGTAATGTCAAAAATACTGGTAATGAGAGTAGAAGTAATGAATGAGCTAGGGTTAGGGAGAGGACAGGACATAACAGGTAAGGACACATTGTGGATTAGAAAAGACTCCATTAATAATTAACTATGCCCCCACCGTTGCATACGAGTACACAGTGGATTCAGGCATGTGTGTGTGTGTGTTTAAAAAGATGAATAAAATGGGATGAAAGTTACTAACATGAAAAGAAAGAGCAGACATATCCTCAAGAAGACTCCTGTTTTGGAGCTCAAAGTGTCCAGAAGGACATAAAGGCTGAATAAACAGGTGAAATAATAGTAAAAAGCAAACAGTATAATCACAGCTAACCATACATGAGAGTATTTAGCTCACTCACCTTAGTTATGTTTCAGGTAACTCCTGCTCCTTTCTTGCCTTTGGCTCTGTTTGAATTCTTATAGTACCCCCTGTGTCCTTTTCTGCTCTTTCTCTTTGATAAAAGCCCACACAGTTCTTCGCTGTATGTCCAACAGTTACCTAGTCAGCATGTCATGTCAAAATGCAGTTATCCTATTCTGTCTCTGTGTCCAGTTTCAGTCTTTCTGACAGGAGTTTCAATACCACACTTACTCCCTCACTTCTCAGCTCTACTGACCTCATATTCCCCTCAGTGTGAATGTGTTATGCTGTGTAGTCCCACCCCACTGTTCCACACACACATGCACGCTGTGTTTTCATTCCTTGCGGGGACTTTACATTGACTTACATTCATTTCCTGTAGACTTATCCTAATCTTAACCACAACCACTACTTGCCTAGCACCTAACCCTGACCCTAACGCTTAACCTAAGCCTAACTTTGCCCTAACCTTAAAATTGCCATCCTAAAATTCAATAACCATGGGGACCTTCCTTGTGGGGTAATCCGTCCCCACAATGCGAGTGTGTTAACAGGTTTCAGTCCCCATAATGTAAGCAATACCAAGGCGTGCATGCACATACGCACACAGTTGCATAAGGGAAGTTGGGTCAAAGCCTGAGCTGCGAAGTGTCAGTTAATGTTTAACTTTGCCCTAACCTTAAAATTGCCACCCTAAAATTCAATGACCATGGGGACCTTGCTTGTGGGGTAATCCGTCCCCACAATGTGAGTGTGTTAACAGGTTTCAGTCCTCATAATGTAAGCAATACCAAGGCGTGCATGCACATACGCACACAGTTGCATAAGGGAAGTTGGGTCAAAGCCTGAGCTGCAAAGTGTCAGTTAAGGTTCATGTTTCATGTTACAGCATAGCAGCATCAGCTGTAAAAATATAATTCAAAGAATTAAGTGATGTTACAAAATACACCAAGTTTACAGGAGACTGCAAGACAGTCCATGGGTAATGGTAGATATCAAACTCATTCTTCAGTGGTAAAACAAAGAAATTTGGCCATACACATTTCTCAGAGTTGGGATACACACACCCATACACATGTATGCATACACCAGAAAACAGTCATTACCAAGAGCACAGTTATAAAGTGGGAGTTCAGCTCAACTGGAACCTGTAGAGATGTTGAATTCCTGTGGCAATGTCAGCCCTTATTCCAGGCAGAGCTACTCAGAGGCTCCAGAAACTCAGTGCCTGCAACACATTGCTCTGGTCTGCACTGCAGTAACCTGATGATTATAAATCCAGTCATCAGGTTTCTCCTCTAGCATGGATGTCTTTTGGGAGCAGGACCTTACGCATTTTAACTGCACAGAAGGTGTTGCTTCCTAACTTTTTTTTTTTTTTTTTTTTTTTTTTTTTTTACATGCTGACAGTGCAGAGAGAGAAGACAAACAGGCAGACAGAACGAAGTTCTTCTTGATTTTACTTGATAAATCTAATGAAAAGGAGACAGGATGACAACAAGAGTGGATAGAGGAGAGACAAAAGAAGAAAAGCAACAAGACACAACAAACAATCAAACACTGGTCAGGTCGATGTGGCCGGTGACTGCTCATCAGAAATGTAGAGCTGGCCAGGGCCAGGGCTACCTTTCTGCAGGGAGAGAGAGAGAGGACACACTACGGGAGAGGGGAGACCGTTAGTG